TTGTAATTCGCCTCAATTTCAGGGCTATAGCCCCAGGTGTTCTGGATAAGGATTTATTCCATTTTCAAACATTAGAGCACATAATGAAGATGACACGAACATGGGACTCAACCATGTCAATGATACCAAGAGGAGGGGACACGATCTGGGGCGATCTTGACTGGTCACCTGAGGAAGGCTATTCTCCTTGCAAAAGTAAGTCTAAAGACGATGCTGCTCAGATTTCAGGCCATCACGAGAATCAAACTACAGATTCTAATGCAAAATATTATAGTTATGGAAGGATGATATCCTTTGGAAAGGATGCAGCAAAGGCTCATTCATCAGACCTCAAGAGGATTGACTTTAGGGTAATGTTAATCAGAAACCAAATTCTTTCATTGTTTCTCTCGTATGTGCTATTTTCCTCTATTTGTTTCAACTTTCAACATTGATTTCATTGGTGGTGGCCGGTGATTCTGAATAACCAGACTTCTACTATCAGAAATGCTAGAGGCCTGGGGTGGATCTAGTGAATAACTATGGGTTCATTTGAATCCAGTAGCTTTAGCTTAGACCCTTTGGTATGTGTTAAAGAAACCGCTAAGTATAAAATAACATATTTCTTCTTTTAGATTGATATAAACAATAGATTTCAAACCCCAATAAATATCGGATGTGGTAGAATTGCGAATCTGAACCCATAAAGTTCAAATTCTAGATCCGCCTCTGCTAGAGGCACAAAAAAAAAGCAGAAATAAAGCTATCTATAAATTAGTTAGCACTTTGATGTGAAGTCCTTGTTCTGATTCCAGTTCTTTTACTTATATTGTTATGCTATAGGCAAGCATTTGTTAGGCCAAGCAGGTATGACCAGCCTTGCTAAAAACTGCTGCTTTTGGGGAACTACCAAAGAATGAATTGGGTACCTGGTAACATGGTTGCATGTTTAAGAGCCAATGCAATGTGCTTGGTGTGATATCAGTGTAAAATAATGGAAACAAATGAAGTCTAACCATATATTACAAGTGGATGATGCCTTTGTATATCAAATTTTTCTAGATATCCTTAATTATTGCATTCCCTTTTTGTGATAAGTACCAGGTGAGGACTTATTGACAAAAAAGAAAGAAATATGATAAAGCACTACATGAAGCATTCCTTAAAAACTTGCTATCTCAGCAAAATAATCTGTTCAAAGTTTCCTTTTTGAAAAAAGAAAAAATCTCCCCTGCCAATGAAAATGACAAAGGTGGTTACAGTTAAGGTCATATTGAATGTCCTGCTGAAATGTATTTCTTTTACTTGCAAATAATACTCCAAGCTTGTCACTTGTCCCTTTTTTTTTGAATGAGGCACTCCATTCGTTATGTCAATTTATCTGAATTCATTGTGCTCCAAATAGACTATAAGAGTCAAGTTCTTTTGATATGTTTGCTGAACGCAGAACTAGACAAGCAAAGCATCATAACTGCCAGGGAAAAGCAATGGAAAAATAGAACCATGTTCTCTCAAATATCTCAAATTTGAAAACCACATTGGCTATGACGTACAATGTGCCTCTTATAGAGCAAAGAAATGCCTATTTCCTTACTTTTTCTTTTAATTAATACTCCTATTTAACATCCTTATGCCAGCAGCAGTTCATGTGAAATGTGCATCAATCAAGTGTTTCCATGGGATTGAACTGAATAACGTTAAAAATGAATGATCAATGATGTCTCAGTGTCCTTCCATATAATGGGTGTCTTTTCTTCCTATTTATGCTAATTTGAAACATCTTCTGTCTGTCAAGTTATGTCTTAATTTTTTGTGCTTTCAGGCTGTGCTAAATAATATTATCTCTCCCACTTGCTTCCTGATGCCCGGAACTAACTAGCGTTTATTTACATGCAGGGTGCTGTAAAGGGCAGTAATGTTGCAAATAACACCTGTGATGTGTGGAACGAGTACCATGACATGGGTGTTAGTGGTGCTAAAGCAGTGGAAGAGTACAAGGTTTATACAGCTGGAGAGACTTTGGATTTGCTCAACTTTGTTGCCCCAAAGATGATGGCCCGTGGTAGCGCTCACTTTTCATATGGGATAGCTGATGATTTGGATGATCCTAAGTATTCACACTACAAATATTGGTCAAATCCATTGGAAACAAAGTAAGACACCTCATTTTTTCTTTGGTGTCCTATAATGCAGTTTTTACTTGAATCCTTTCAGATAAGATGAAAAAGTGGTCTTTAACTTTATAGGTTGAAGTTCAAAAATCAAAACCAAATTTGCCTTTAGAGTTAGAGTCTTGACTATCTTACCTTTTTTTTTTTAAAAAAAAAAAACACAAAATTCTTTAACAGTTTCCAGTCAATAGTTTTCACTTGGACAAGACTTTTTGGTAAGCTAGATCATTATCTGTTTCTATTTCTCCTCCCTAAGGTAGAGTGTGGTTGAGGGGCAGCAGTAATCTCTTTGAGTACCAGCTGACCTGTTCCTGCATATCTTAATGCTCTATTCCGATAAAATACATGACTTTCTCCAAAAACAGTACAACTTATCTCTCTCGTGTTTTCCAAAATTCAAGGTTACATTTGTGAAGACTAAGAAGCCAAATAAGTCAAGTATTTTAGTGACGGTAGGTCCATCTCTGACAGATTGAGGGGGCACAGATTAACTGTCGGCTGTATGCCACCTTTCTGTATTCTTCAGCCACATGTGTATGTCTTTTGTTGAACTTAAAAGTATTTAAAAACGGTTATGTCCTTTCTTGCCCTTTTAGATACTTTTGAACAGGAAAAAGTTAAGATCCTTTAGATACTTTTGTTTCTTGCGGCTCATGGGAATCGTATGAACTATCATTTTAGATTCTCTTCTCAAGTTCACTTTTCTTTTTTCCCCTTTCAGAGTTCTCGGAAAGTTTAGTCAAATTTGAAAGCCCGAAAGGATGCTTCCTTAATTTGCTGCAGCTTCTTTAAATAAAATTAGTCTTAATTATTTTGTTCTCAGTTGCGTTTTTGTTTCTATTTGATCTGTTCTGCAGGTTACCAGATGCACCTGACATGGAGATCTATTCAATGTATGGAGTCGGTATTCAAACTGAAAGAGCATATGTTTACAGACGGATGCCAACAGCAGGATGCAATATTCCATTCCAGATTGATGCTTCAGTTGATGAAGAGGATGAAGATAGCTGCTTGAAATCTGGTGTTTATACAGTAGATGGTGATGAGACTGTGCCTGCATTAAGCGCGGGATTCATGTGTGCAAAAGGATGGCGTGGAAGAACTAGATTTAATCCCTCTGGTATCAAAACTTATGTAAGGGAGTATTATCATGCTCCTCCCGCAAACCTTCTTGAGGGTCGTGGTACACAGAGTGGTGCCCACGTTGATATAATGGGAAATTTTGCTTTGATAGAGGATATAATGAGAGTTGCTGCTGGTGGTACAGGTGAAGACGTGGGAGGTGATCAAGTTTACTCAGATATCTTCAAGTGGTCTGAGAAGATCAATTTGCGTTTGTGACTCATGGTTGTGATCATCTGTCACTGCTCTACTATAGTTTCATAAATTTACATACCCATTTCACTGGATGCCATTCAAATATTAGAACTACACAGTTATTTTTTCAGATACAGTGCAGGATTTCATGCTTCTGGTGGTGTATATTGTAACAATAGCAGCTCATCTCGTTATACAATAACAGAGAACAAGAGATGGTGTGCAGTAGGTATTTATTTGATGCTGTACCATTAAAGTCTTTCGATTGGTAATCTGTTGTAAGTTATGGACTGGGGGATGTTGATAGTATTCAAATGGTTGCTTAGTCAAAGAGCAACCGAGGGAACTTGATGTGTTTTAGATAATACACAAGTCGAAGTACCAAACAGCATATGGAAAAATGATCCTGAATATTATGGGTTGGAATTGGTGGATTAAAGATTTTATTTTTTAACTATGTGTTTTAAGTCTTCAAAACTTGAATAAGTGAATCAGTATTGTACTTTATCTGGGAGTGTGCATAATTAAAATTTAGTTTGTCAGGGAAAAAATGAAAAAACGAAGAATGAAGCTGTCAAATAAATGGGATCTCTGTATTCATTTGGTTTCGGCCAATAGCCATCTTCATTAATGGCAAGACATAAAAAAAACTTATTAATACAAAAAATAAATAATAAAAAAAGAAAATATAAATTTTCTAATTGCAAATAGAAATAGAGAACACATTGAAATTGAAATACACGAATTATCACGGTATATAAAAATAACTCTCATGATCTGCTGTAAAAACTACACATCTCAAGTCACCAAGAGTTCAAGCTAGTAGTTGCATATATTGTATAGTTTGTTAATCTCTAAACGGAAAAAGAAAATTGCCAATCACATTTCCAAACCAAGAAATATGCATGTTAAGAAATTCTTCAATCTCAAAAGAAAACAAATAATTAAAATACATGCATGTTTTGATTATAATGAGATCAACATTAGTACTACAACTAAACTATAGGACTCGTCCCTCAATTAGAAGCTCTTAATATTATTAAAGGCAATAATACAGTCCCATTTAAAGCTAAATGTCTAATTAATGACGCCCTTAAATATTTCTTTATTTTTTTAAATTTCGTTCATTTCCGTATTTTTCAAGTAGTAATAACAATCAAGTGTACATCCTTTTATTTGCGTTGTGGTTCACAACTTTAAACGGTAACAAATATTGGGAAGCCAATTTGGAATCGGAAATATAACGGATTTCGGGTCTTGGATTGGGTCGAAACCCATATAGTAAAACGGGCAATTGAGTCTCTCTCTGGTCCAAGTTGGGTTATCAGTAGCGGTAGACCCGCCAGAGACTCTTGTTTCATCCTTCAATTGTTTTTTACACAGAGAGCGTCGTCATCTCCGATCAATCCCGTTTCTTCATCGCCAGGATCGCCACCTTTCTCTCTCTCTCTCTCTCTCTCTCTCTCTCTCTCTCTCTCTCTCTCTCTCTCTCTCTCACTCTGTATCTATCTATCTATCTATTTATTCGTAAGTCTCTTCATCCGTACTTGCCAAATTTGCATGTTTATTATCAGATCATCTAATGGATCGGCACAATTAAAGTTGCTTATCTTGTTTCGAAGTTTGTAATTTCTATCTGATTACCAATGTTTTTTGTTTTGAATTACTTCATTAATTGTCTATGGCAAATTTGTTCGGTTTAAAGAAGATTTCTTATGGATTAAATTTTTTGTTGCCAATTCGTGCTTGGTACACCACACTGATGTTTTACTTGTTTGTTCCTGTAGTTTCATGTCTTCTTTAATGGGTTAACTAGATGTGATAACTATCAGCTGCATCTCGTGTAAGTTACACAAAAAGATAACTCAATGTATGTTGGTTTTAAAGACTTTGGGGTTAGGGTTTTTATATTGAATAAAATAAGATTGATTGGAGGTCCGTGATTTCAATAGGATTTTACAACTCCAGCTCATGTGTTTTTCTCAGGTGCTTTCAGTTGTTTAGCCAAGATTTTACTTCCCTGACAATGTTTTAATGCACTATTTGATCTTTTCTTTGCAGTCTATAGCCTTTTTTTTAAAGAGATTTACATTAAGGTCTTCAAAAAGTACCAGTCTTGTCACTCGCAAAGTTTAGCATTGAAAAACCTCATATCAGTTTAAATGTGTACTACTCTCATTTGTGTTCCTTTTTTAAGATCTTTGCTGGTCTATTGTCAATTTTTCGGATCATCAATTTTGGATTGGCACAATGAAATTTGCTTATCTTGTTTCTAAGCTGAACTTTTTTTTTTGATTACCAATTTTTTCCGTTTTTGTATACTTCATTTTAGTGTCTGAAAGTAAATTTGTGCAGTTAGAAGATATCTTATGGGCTGTTTTTTTTTGCCAATTCGTGTTTCGTATGCCACACTGCTTATATCTGGAATATTGTTTGATTGGTCTCGTTGCTTCTATGTCTTCTTTCATGGGTAAACTCGATTTGATAACTATCAACTGCATCTCATGTAAATTACAGGAGAGGGAACTTAATGTGGGTTGGTTTTAAAGACTTTGGGGTTAGGCTTTTCATATCGAATAGGGAAAAGTTGATTTGGGCTCCAAGATTTCTCCAGGATTTTAGACCTAGAGGGGGAGCTTAGTGCACTGGCTGTCATTTGTATAGTTGTTTTTTCGTAATACTATCCCATACCCTCTGCTCAAACATGGTGTGTGGATAGATAATATTCCATATCTGAGGAAGAATATGCTTCACTAGAATTTCCATCTCTTGAACAAGGACTATATATTTATTGGTGTATTGTCCTCTGCAGTGTATATAGACTGAAGTTGAGCTGAACTGCATCCTGCTGATATCTTTTGGGAACAATATGCAGCAAGCTGTTCAGCCAAGGTCTTTTCCCAATGGATTTGGCCGTCGGAAAGGCGAAAAAGAAACGGGTACAAGGTTGGAGAGTAGAACGCAGTCTACAAAAACGACTTCCAGCAGGTTGACAGGTGTAGGTGAGAGCTGCTACTTAGAATTGTCTGTATTTCTTCATATCCTTAATTCTTAACTGCCATGAATTTCAGGTAAAAGGGGAGCATATGAAAGCCCTTCACATGATCGACTAGTTTATTTTAGTACATGTCTTCTTGGACATGAAGTGGAAGTACAGATACTGGATGGATCCGTGTTTTCAGGGATATTTCATGCAACAAACGCTGACAAAGATTTTGGTATGTCTGGAAAATTAAAAATTAGATTTCTTTTGTTTTATATTATCCAGTATTGATGACCCTGAACATTGTTCTGTCATGTATTCAGCTATTTTGCATTTGACGTTTGCTTCTATCATGGAACTTTGCTCAGGTATTATTCTGAAAATGGCCCACTTGATAAAAGATGGTTCCCAGGAGAGGAAGAATACTCCTGAATCTTTGATCAAACCTCCAACAAAGACTTTGATAATACCGGGTAAAGAGCTTGTGCAAGTTATCGCAAAGGTCCGTGTGTAACTTTTATGATTTTTGCTTGCAATTATTTTATTTACTTTGGTAAAAAATTCTAACTTTGACATAGTTCTTAAATGATCGAGCAAACAATCGACGCTGTGATATAAGATTGTGGTGGCATTTCATGCAAGACTAAGATATAAATAGAATCAGATTTTATGGTTGTCTATCTGTTAGGTAAATCTGTACTAATGGGGCTATTGCTTTGGAATAGGGTGTGCCTGCAACTTTAGATGTCTTCCAAGCCGAATTGCTGTGGGAAAAGCAGCAGGAGCTTTTGACAGATTCATGCATATCACAGTCCCAGCATGTTGAGGTAGAGAGGCAGTTGGAACGTTGGGTGCCTGACGACGACGCTCTTGAATGTCCTGAACTGGATAACATATTTGATGGCCACTGGAACAGGTTTAGATCAAACTAGTTTTGTTCATCTGATATTTGTCAAAGTACTTGACTTTTCAGCTATGATGAAATTAATCACCAAACCTCCCTCCCCTCAATCCCCCCCAAAAAAGGGATCATGATTTATCAACATGTAGTAGAAATGTCATGTGTTCTTGGGTAAACTGACTATTACAATGGAATATTCAAGAAAAGAACCTGCCTATGGTTACCATTTTTTTTATGTTTACCCATTCCTAATTACCCTTCTACGTGCTGAAAATGTTAAACTTCAAGTGGGATTCTGTTTGATTTTCTTGAGGTAATCATACTCACATAAGCATTTTATTGATTTGACTCTTCTCTCTCTCTCTCTCTCTCCTTAGACCGCTCTTTACTTTGTTTTGGAAGTTGTTTGTGATCTTCTTCCATTCTTTAGAAATTCTTTTAACCGATATTTTGAAATGAAAGAAAGGACAAAAGCAAGGGGAGAAGGTGAAAGCAAGAATGGGAGGAGAGGAGGAATGAAAGTATTAGTTCTTGTTTTGTTTTACACACTACTCTCCCCAGACTCCACCAGTGGGATTACACTGGGTGTGTTTTTGTAGAAGCCTAGAAGGAACGCAATGGGTCCATGGAGATGAATATCCTTCTTGAAGTATTTGTTTTGTTTGTAAGCCCAAGTTTTTCTTGGATGTTGCAGAAGTTCCATTAAAGAGGCCTCCTTTCCCCTCTGTTCTTGAATTTTTGATCCCTGGCCATGTCTCTCCAGTCTATCCTTCTCCCCCATTTCTTGGCCAAATATTCAACCTGGAAAGTGAAATATTAGGAACTCTCATTTTTTCCCCACCCTTCGCGTGAATTAAATATCCATAAACCTAAGCATATCCGAATTCAATGTTTTCTGGAGTAGGGAGTTGAGTTGAACTGTGCAGGATATTAGACATGGAAAATTTTCATGTTCTTTAACCCTTTCCGAAATCATTCAAATCCTTTTCTGATGTCTCTAGTTAGAATGTGTCTTGGTGGAAATCATTAGTTCATGGCTTCATGCTTATGTTCTGCTTTTCCTTTGAGCTGCCTATTACAAAGGGGAGAAACCTGCGCCTTTCCCGTGTTCAAAGATCTCTTCTACTTCTTAATTTGAAGATTATTGAAAGTCAAATTTGATTTTGGTGCTCTATTTCTGCTCATTAGTGGTGCCAGATGATTGCTTGGAATGGGTGCTCCACAGCTGTATTCTTCAATTAGTAGCGATACATGCCTATAAGATTTCTTTTTCCCCTCTGGTGTCAAATTTGTGCTAGTTGTGAATTATGTTCCTTTAGCAAGTGTTTACCGGCTGTCTACCAATGTGACAATGTGTTTCACCTACTATGTCACTGAATATTTGCTTGCAGGGGCTGGGATCAGTTTGAGGTCAATGAAACACTATTTGGAGTAAAAAGCACATTCAATGAGGAACTTTATACTACAAAGCTTGAGAAAGGTCCTCAAATGAGGGAGTTGGAAAAAGAAGCTTTAAGAATAGCTAGGGAAATTGAGGGTGAGGAAACACGTGATCTTCATCTAGCAGAGGTGAGATTTACATCGTTACCTTTTTCTTGTGCAATGTTCTTAAAAATGATAGCTCTGTTGCTTAAAGCGATGAGTAATGAAAAGAGGGGTCCTCGCTTCACATGTGCGAAGTAAAGCAACAATGAGCAATGAAAGCGAGGGGGTCTTTGCTTTACATGGGCGAAGCAAAGCAACTTCAAAGAAGCGTGAGCGTCCGATAGTAAGGCGCAAGCGATCCGAGCAAGAAGTCGCATCTTTAATTTGACATTAAAAGATAAAAAGAATAATAAATGGTGCTGTTTACTATCTGAATACTAGGACACCTTTCCAGATACACTTCAGTGTTCTCTTCACGTCTTTTTTCTTCTTCACTGGTTTGCAACAACCTTTCTTTGCTTTTCCTTGCTTTTATCTTATTTTGAATATGACCCATTGTTCTATTCGTCATTCCCTTTTTTCTCTATTTCTTTTTTTGTTCTCCAATTCTTGATTTGTAGGCTGAATGCTAGGGCAATAACGAAGTGACCCTTTGCCTTGTCAAAAATATAAAATAAGAATGACTCTTTGCTATCTAAAATTTATTATTGCTACTGTTACTAAAACAATTATATATGTTATTGATGTTGCAAATTAACTTTTTATGGCCTTCTAGTTGAAAATTAAAAATCAAATTTGTAATTGAAGTTATCTTCTTGTGAGCTTGCTGAAGTACACTTTAATGGTATTTATTTGAACGGTTGAATTTATTATTTCACTATTTTTATGAGATATTGAATTCTGTAACTTTAATTACTATTTTGATGTTATAAGAACTGATTCTCATATGCTAGGGAATTTTCGCATCATCTGTAAATTTTGCACTTAACTTCAAAGCGTGCTTCGCTCACATCTCTTTTAAACCCCTAGGAGTCTTGTTACTTTTTTGCTTTCTGCTTTTGAGAACACTGATATCGTTAATCCTTGGTTTTCTTTCCATCCTCTAATGGCTCTTGTTCTGCCTTTTGATTTTAATTTTCTTCACTTGTTTTGGAATTATATTTTCACAGGAGAGAGGAATTCAACTTCATGGGAACCTTGAAATTGATGAAGAAACCAGATTTTCAGCAGTTGTTAGAGGGGTTGATGATAGTGGATATGATGACTGTGAGGACATACTGGTGGATTCACATAATGATGAAACATTCACTGGCACGAGTGTTGGGAAAGTTGTTGATGGTGCAGAATTCTCATCAAGATCTTCCTATATGGTATGGGTATGCTCATTTAGGCTCATTGTGTCTTGCATAAACTATTCCTTTGTGGAATGAGAACTTTATTCATTGTGTCAATGTGTTGCTAGGTAAGGTTTTATGTCTGTGCTTAATTTATTTTCGACAAACCGAGGCATTTAATTGGGATATACCTGATGTAGGAAGATGGTTTTCTAACTATTCAAATGTCTCAACTAGTTGGAAACTTTATTGCAGAGTAGTGCTGTGAAAGTCCTGGCAAATACAAGAACTATCCATGCCTTTTAGACATAAGTCCTGCTAGCAAGAAATTTCTCTTAACTTTCGTAGATCGAATGAAATGGTTTAAAGTGGCACCCAAAGATGTGACAGTAGCGGTCAATGAAGTAATAATGAATGGGAGACTAGGATTCAAATCCCAACAGAGGAAAAAAAATGTTAGGTGATTTCTTTTCATCATTCTAAGCTTATAGAGTTACCCCGTACCTGTGTTGGTGGGAGGTAGCAGGTACGCGGTTGACTAGTTGAGGTGTGCGCAAACTGACCTTGTATACCACCAATATCAAAAAATACAAAAATAAAAGAGGTCTTTAAACTCCTTGTCAAAAAAAAAAAGAGGTCTTTAAAGTGTCTGTGTTCATGTGTTAGTTCTATGCCTTTGATTTTCTGCTTGTATCTAAAGATCACATCGCCAGTGTTAGTCTTGCCTTATGTATGTAGGATGAATTGCAATCTTCTCAGTTGAGTACCAGCAGGAATGTCTATCAGACTTACTATGATGATCATACCAAACAGTCATCAGCTAAACATGTTCCTCAAAGTGCCTTGATGATGGATGAGAGCAGGTTGTTACAGTCTTTCTTTCTGACATTCTGACTGTTCTTCTCTGCCTAGTCGGTGAAGTCTACTTTCTCTTGTCATGTTTTCTACTTTTAAAAGAGAAAGCTTAAATACAATAAACTCTTACCCCTTTTAGCTATCAAATTTTTAATGCTCTAACCATGTATTCCTTTAGGGGGCATAAGATCACCTTCAGTGAACATGATGGAGCTAGTTGCAATGATGAGGAGATGAGAATGCAAATGGTAGCTGAACTTTAACTCCCTTAAATGCTTTTTGCTTTCGTTAAAAATCTGTTCTTTACTATTTCTTTTTTTCTTGCTTGGAAAAGCTCTCATGGTCAGTACTCGTTGTTTCTTGTAGTTAGCTGATGAGGCTCAAACACCAATACTGGAAGGTGAGTTTCTCTTGAGGTTCAACTAGTCAAATATCCATGCCTGCAACTCCTAAGGATAGGTTTCTTATAAATATTTCCCTTCTTGCTACATTGCTTCTAGTTGACTTGTATCCTATCATCTTCTCTTCACTTTTTCCCCCCTCAAAATAGCTCCGCTCAGAAATTGATATTTTAATATTAGGATGTTATACTCATCTAAAGAAAAAATTGTTGTCTGCCTCAAGATTGTTGAGCATGTCACTTTGGTTCTTCGCCATCAGTAAAACAAAACAAAAAAAATACCACGTTAATGTTCTGATCTACTGCCCACCAGCTAAAAGAATGGTTGGTGAAGGTCTAGCTAGGTAAGCTTCCAATGATGCTAGGTTCCTTGTAGCTTTTGCACATCTCAAAAAAACTTCTATTTTAACGTATTGTATAATGAGCAGTCAAAACAGGTAATATAATTAATCCTGGTAGAGTCACTTGTATATCATGAGAATCAAGGATGCTATTGGCTCCTTAAAGCGACTCTTTTTAATGGAAAGTTTTATGGTTAACTAAATTAGCCTCCCTTTTTAATTATAGTTTATCCCCTTCTCGCTCATCTTTTAAGTGTTTAAAAAATGTGCCTCTGCCTCATTTTATTGCATCTCTGTTGATTTTAAGGTTTTTACATGTAGATTCCAAGTCATCACGATTGAAAAAGGAAACGTCGGATAAGGGTAGATCATCTGCGGATGTCTCCACATCGTCTGCTCCTCTCAAGTGCCAGGATAAGATCGCAGGTTCTTCTAGTGAAAAGGGGCCTGTTGCGTCTTTCAAGAGTCAAGACATTGCCCGATCTGCTAATTCTTGTGTCAGACCTTGTAGTTCTGCTTTATCCTCTATTGATAAAGCAGGTCCTGCATCTAGCAATGGATTGTCACGTAGCTCTTCAGTGAGTTCATTTTCCTCAGAAAAATCCACAAAGTCCACATTGAATCCACATGCTAAGGTAAGACTTCTTCTTTGATACCTTTTCTATTCAACAAAGGATGACTATCAGCAAGCAATCATTTCATGAAGTTTTGATGGGCTCTTGGTTTAAACAATCTAGTTATGCTTCTGTTGAACGTTCTGGCAGGAATTTAAATTTAATCCCAATGCGAAGAGTTTCGTCCCATCTCAAACGACTTTAAGACCGGCATCTCCAGTGTCTGATAATTCCTTCTACTATCCAGCTGGGGTGGCTGCTATGCCACACATGCATGGCATGTCTGTGGGCATTGGGGTAATGATGCTTTTATGTATTATTACTGATTGGTGTTGCTTTTATGAATGTTTGTTTTTATGAATGCGGCTTGGCTGGGTACTTTTAGTGCCAAGCATATGAGTCTTGATGATCTGGTTTCATTGGGATAGGCAGTTTCCATACTGGTATTTCATTCTATATTTGTCCGACTCTATCAAATGAAATATATTGTCCAACTCTACTTGCAAATGATTCTCTCCTTTTTTTTTTTGGTGAAATGGTACGGAGTTGCAAATGATTCTTAGGAATGGTAATTTCTATTAGTGGAATAACTGAATCTTAAAAATATTACATAATATGTTCACCTCTGAAAATCACTAGTTTATTGTTACACCGAGAAGAGCACAAAAAAAAAACAGTGAACCTATCATTACCTCGTCCTTTATCTGGGCTTAAGACCGGCAACGTGGCCTAAGTTTGAGGGATGCCACACAAGGACTTCCGAAGGGTCATCTGGCCTAGTACTTTGCCCAAGCACACTTGATTTTGGAGTTTTACGTATAGTAAACGGTAAAAGGGTAACAGCCACCTTGTTTTTATGTGTCGTTAATTGATTCTCTTCCATCTTTTAATGGTTAATGTATCATGGATGCAATTCTGCTGACTAGCAATTAGTGAGATCCTCTTTAGACTAGATTTTTGGACTATTCTTAAGGAACTGAGATGCAAGATTGAATTGCAAGCTATTTTCAAATTGCTGGATAGCTGGTGAAGTTCACAAAGAATCTGTTTGCATCTTTGTGAACCGGACATGCTATTGCTTCTCTCTCTCTATCTCTCACTTTTTCCTTTTTGGAGGCTGGGGCAGAGTGTTCTGATGTTAAATGTTGCTAACGTACTATTTGCAGGTTGGTCCATCGTATGCTGGACATCAGCCTGTTATATTTAATCCACAGGCTACACCTGCACCGCAGCCATACTTTCATCCAAATGGACCTCAGGTTTGTCCTTTTTTTGGTCATTGCCCATAGTACGTGCTGGTTGTTCTGCCTGTAATATTGGAGAGATTTGGTCAATGCACTAGTCGTTCTGCCTATTATATTGAATTGGATTGCATAATGTTTAGAATCTCGTCCTTTGATTGCAGTATGGACAGCAGATGATGATTGGCCACCCTCGGCAAGTTGTCTACATGCCAACTTACCCCCCTGTAAGAATCTTTTTCTGGCATGTACCTTTTGCTTTTTCGGTCTTGCAGTCTTCTAGCCATTTAATAGCTCTCATTGTGATAAAAGTCAATTTTGGGTACCTTGCTTGATCATGAATTAATGATCATAATGGTCCTTAACATAGTAGGTAATGCTTAAGAGGAATTTTCCACAAAAATACCACAACACTAACTACACCTTAATATCAAGTAAGCAGTGTTTTGGATAGCGTGCGGCGGCAAATAGCGACGAGGGCCCGCTTCACTGAGGCGAGAGGTGCGCAGTGAAGCGCTCGCCTTTTTGATGTGAAGCGACAATTTATACAAAAACATAAAATATTATATACATATAACTAAAAACTCAATAACAATAATATATTAATAAATATATCATCCAAAAATTAAAGACTCAATAGATAGTCATAGACTCATGGTAGATTCATAAATTAAAGACTAATAGTCTAAACTCTAAAACAAGCAACATCTATTCTTCTTCAAGATTTTCAAATTCTACAACTTCATGAATGTTAGCATTATATTGGCTATCATCTTCTTCATCCTCGGACTCTTCATCAATTAGGGACCTACTTGAACTTGCTACTCCCTTTCCCTTGTAACTTGAAGAACTCCCTCTATGTCCATAGATATTCTCCTCAACTTTAACGGCCATAGAAACAGTACCCCAATCAAGATCATCTCCTTCATACACTTGTTCATCTTCATGATTTTTGGGGGCTCCAGTTAACCATTCATTTGCCTCGTCAATGTTGTCCAACAAAATTGGATCAATGGTATCGCGAGCTTCATAACGTCGCCTCAATGTTCTATTGTATTTAATATACACTAGATCATTGAGACGCGATAGCTCAAGCCTATTCCTTTTCTTGGAGTGAATCTGCGCATAAGTTATTTAGATTAATTAATAGATACTAATAATAATACAATATAGAATATATTAATATAATAAATCTACTTCTTACATGCTCAAATACGCTCCAATTTCTCTCGCATCCAGATGCACTACAAGTTAGGCTTAATACTTTGATGGCAAACTTTTGCAAGTTTGGAGTTTGATGTCCAAATTGCTTCCACCATTCAACTATAGAAAAATATTTTAAAAGTTAATAAGTATAAATCAAATAAATTAGATTAAAGTTATATGGATATCTATATTAAAGTTAGTTACCTGGCGACCTTGTGTCTTTGGCTCTAATGGCAGCCGGTAAACCAAATAGGCTCTCTGCTTGTGAGTACTTACCAAACTCGTCCCCTATTTGATCTATCGTCGCTAAATTAGGGATCAGCTTCTCAAGACATGCATGGTATCCAATCCACACCTCTGAATCCAAAGTTTCATCTCTAGTGTTCTTGTAAAATAATCCCGGGTTCAGAAGATGGCCTGCTGCATGCAAAGGTCGATGGAGTTGATTGTTCTACCTGGTATCAATTATCTCAAAAACTTTCTCATATTTCCTAATATCTCCCTCAAATGACGCTGTAATACTCTCTTTGGCTCTATCCATAGCTTCATAAAGATAGCCCATTGGTGGTTTTTTCTCCCCATCCACCATACGAAGCACCCTAATCAAAGGACCGCCAACTTTAAGAGCCCGAACGACGTCATTCCAGAATGATGGAGAAATAAGAACTTTGGCAGTTTCTTTCCCCGCAGTTTCCTTTGCATATTTATTATCTTTCCATTCAGTCGAAAGAACTAGCTTTCTCAAATTTTTCTTTTGCAAGTAAAAACTATGCAAAGTTAAGAAAGCCGTTGCAAATCCAGTCTTGACCGGTCTCACCAAATTTCTTTCATTTGTGAATTTCCTCATCAAATTCAACAACAACGGCCTTTGACTGATGTAAGCATATACCTTGAAGGGCTTAGTGAAAACTGTAAAAGTAACAATTACAATTTTATAGTTAATAAATAGGATAGGACATAAGTATAAATAAAGTTAAAGGATATTAAAGTTACCTGAAGCATATGGCTGTTCCTTGAATATGTCACCAAACATCAAGTCGATACAATGGGCAGCACATGGAGTCCAATAAATGTTTGGATACATAGCTTCCATCATCTTCCCCGCACTAACATTCTCACTACCATTATCTGTAACAATTTGTACAACATTTTCCTTTCCAATTTTATCAATAGTATTTCTAAATAAGTTGTACATTTTGCTTCCATCCGTAGAAGAGTTGCTAGCATCGTGAGATTCAAGAAAAACACTCCCTCTTGGAGAGTTCACCAACACATTTATGATCATTTTTCCATTCCGTGCTGTCCATTTATCCATCATAATGGAACATCCAAACTTGTTCCATTCCACTTTATGCTCCTCAATAATTTGGTCTATCTTTTTCACCTCCTTTTTAAGATGAGTTACTCTAACTTCATGATAGCTAGGAGGCTTCATTCCTGAGCCATATTGTCCTACGGCCTCAATGAATTTGTCAAAAGTTTTGTAGTTGACAGTTGAAAGGAAGCCCTGCATCGTACATCCATGATGCAAAGGCACTGACGGCGCGATCCCTCAAAATCTTCTTGGCTTCTAAACCTGAACCTTCTTCACCTTTTCCCCTTTCTTGTTGTTATGCCGAGAAATAAAGATTGAGAGGACCTTTTGTCACCGTACGTGCCGTGGATGACCCACTAGACATATTTGGATTTATCTTATGAGTTTTAAGGGGGGGGGGGGAGGTCCCATTTGACCTTCTTTATCCATTTCATCATCTTCATCAATTAGATTCACCGATGCTTCATAATTCATTTGAGTTCTTGCCATATTTTTCTTTTCAACAAACGCTTTTACTTCCTCCCTAACCTCGGGCGGACAAAGGGGACATTGTATTACATTTTTAAATCCACCTATCAAATGTTGCTTGTAACGAGTTATCCCACCATTATATGTTTTTTCACAAAACACACATTTAATTGCGAATCTTGACAAGCCTTGTATAGCATAATTCCAAGCTATATCATTTCGTTTAGTATTATCGGATGACGCCATTTCAACGCTGTTTTATAGAAAAAAATTATCAAGTCAATATGCAATTAATTCTACTATATAAAGAAGACAAAAAAAATAGAGCAAAAAAATGATTCTGCCTTTGGAAACAGTAACACTGCATCTGGAAAAAACAGCAAAGAAAAAATGACAAAAAAAGACAGAGCAAAACAAAAAATTGATTCTGCCTTTGGAAACAGCAAAGAAAGAAGAACACAAATGAAATTTTTGCCTCTAGAAAAATAGCAAATAAAGAAGAAGACAAGACAGAGCAAAAAAAAATAAGAGAAGAAGAAAAGCCTTTGTTTTTGCTAGACAAAAACAGCACAAATACAGACCCTATTTGGCTCTGTTTCTATCGACAAAAAACAGAAGAAAAAAAATAGAAAGAAGAAAGAAGAAAGAAGAAAAAGCATACCTCTGTTTTTTCGCTGTTGAAGCTTGAAGAAGATGAAGCCAGATGATGAAGAAGAAGACTGAAGAAGACCGTTGGTTTGTTCGCAGGTGAAAAGCCCTTATCGCTGAAGTTTTTTTGTTCGCAGGTGAAAAGATTGAAGCCCTAATTCCCGACTTAAGTCTTCTCCCTTTCTCTCTCTCTTTTTTTTTTTTAAAAATAGCAACGCTACAGTCGCTACTCGCCACACTGTCGCCTCACGCAACACACCCTGAAGCGAGCGCTATTTGGAATCGCAACGCAACAGATGCTCTGAAGCGACACACCCTTGCCTCGCCTCGCTTCACGCTATTAGCGCCGAGGCGAGCGCTATTTATAACACTGCAAGCAAGTTGTCGTCGGCCATATTGCTTATGGTTCTCTGAGCCAGTGTTACTAAAAGCGCTCGTTTCTCGCTTTAAGCGCTGAAGCGACGCGTGGCGCAGGGCTATCGCTTTTCTGCTACAAAAGCGACTCACATTTAAAAAGTGCACGCTTTTCTCGCTTAAGCGAGAAGCGCCTCGATGGAAAAGCGATAAAAAAGCGTGCTTAAGCGAGCAGAAGGCTTCTGCTAGGGTTATTTTTAAAATTTTTTGGCAAATAAGCCATCTGTTAACAAATAAACATACGCTCTTCAACGACTTCTTCTCCAGCGAACTCCAGCGATGACGAAGTCTCCAGTTCTCGGTAAGTTTCTTCAACGACTTCTTCTCTTCTTCTTCTTCTTCTGTTCTTCTTCTCTTCTTTCAATTTTTTTCACTTTTTAAGCGCTGATTTTGTGCCCTAAACGACTTCTTCTTCTTCTGTTCTACTTTATGCTCTGTTTTCTGCTTTATGCTCTGTTTTCTGCTTTATCATCTGCTTTATGCTCTGTTTCCTGGTTCGTGCGAATTAACTGTCATGTTTTTTCTTTTTTTTTTTTTGGTTGTTGATTGTAGTAAATTTAATTTGATTATTCAATGGCATCAAGCCAAAAAAGGATTATTCACTATCTAGTTTTAGTATCTATTATTTGCTTCTTGATTCAAGAATTGAAATATTTGCTTAATATGTTATTTTTAATGAGTTAGCCATTTATCTATGCCTATTTTTTTTATTTTTTTATTTATGTGTTAAATTGCGCTTCACATGAAAAAAGCGCGCGCTGCGCTTCGTCGCTTTTTTGCGCTTAACGCTTTCCAAAACACTGCTCTGAGCCGAGGGTCTATTGGAAACATCCTCTCTATCTCCACAAGGTAGGGGTAAGGCTGCGTACACACTACCCTCCCCATACCCCACCATGTGGGATTGTACTGGAAAAGGTGAAAAAAAGAAGAAAGGAAAAAAGAAGAAGAAGAAGAAGGAGAAGACAAAAGACGAAAAGGAAAAAAGGGGAAAAAAGGAGAAGCCGGAAAAGGAAAAGTAGCATCAAATAGTAACAACAACAACAAGGAAAGAAGATAAACAAAGCGAACAAAACAACAAGCAAATAATAGAGATCAAAGAATATGAAAATACATGAGTGCTACTGATACTATTGGGAACTCTCGATTACCTACTATTTTTTTACCCTAATTCTCAACCTTCACATTCTCTTATTGTGGGTCATGTCCTCAGTGAGCTGAATCACCTCGCCCTAATACTTCTTTGGCCTACCTCTACCTCTTCTCAGATCCACCATGGCCGAATAGATCTTATTAAAAGAAAGAACGATCTTCAGCGGAGATCGCAATATGAAAACCTCTCACACCTCCTAATAAGAGCATCTATCCTTCTCCTCTTCACGTGTCCGAACTATCTCAGCCTTGACTCCGTATCGTGTCCTCCACGGGGGCCACTTCCACTTTGTCCCGAATAACTTCATTCCTATCTCTCCCGGTATGCCCACACATTCATCTCAGCGTCCTCATTACTGCTACTTTCATCTTTCTGAACATGAGAGTTCTTGATTGGCCAAGACTCAGACCCACACAGTATAGTAGGTTTAATCACTCTGTAGAACTTACTCTTAAGTCTCGGTGGCACATTCTTATCACACAAAACACCGGATACGAGCCTCCATTTCATCCACCCCGCACCAATACAATGTGAGACCTCCTCGTTACCTTGGATTATAGACCCGAGATACTTGAAACTACTTCCCCGGGGATGACTTGAGTATCAAGCTTCACATCCACGTCCGCGTCATGAGTTCCGTCACTGAACTTGCACTCCAAGTATTCTGTTTTGGTCTGTCTCAGTCCTCCAATTTGATAAAACAAAATTAGTTTTTGTAGCACCAGAAATTCTCTACCTTGTTGGCAAATAAGTCCTTTGACAAGGTCAAAGACTCCTAGTGAACAGAGGACTCAAATGCCAATCTAACACGTGCTTAGTTGAGCATGTCCCAATGTATTTTGCATTTCAAGGATACACCATAGATTGGCTAGCTTCACGCTGGCTATCTACCTGCCGCAACTCTCCTCTTTTATCAAGAGTTGGGACTAGCAATATAAGCAAGTTCACGCTGGCAATATGATGGAATTTCCCATTTATCTGATGATGCTTCTGCTGGTATAAGGATAATATAATAACAAACTATCAGCTTTAGCTTTCTTTCTTTATCTTGATGCCAACAGGAATGACTCAAATGCCAATCTAACACGTGCTTAGTTGAGCATGTCCCAATGTATTTTGCATTTCAAGGATACACCATAGATTGGCTAGCTTCACGCTGGCTATCTACCTGCCGCAACTCTCCTCTTTTATCAAGAGTTGGGACTAGCAATATAAGCAAGTTCACGCTGGCAATATGATGGAATTTCCCATTTATCTGATGATGCTTCTGCTGGTATAAGGATAATATAATAACAAACTATCAGCTTTAGCTTTCTTTCTTTATCTTGATGCCAACAGGAATCGCCATATAAGGGAAGAGAGTATTGACCAGCTGGTCGATGACCTGCATCGCTTGGTGGAGTAATCCAATTGCTGATATGTGAAAGAAGTTTCTGACAGTAGATTGCATGGATCATGTGTTGGTGCATAAAGTCCTGCTGGCTGATAAAATAGCTGCAATTTCCGCCTGCTGGCTGAAATGGTTCTGCTAGCACTCCTGTGTATGTCATATTAGTTATTTTGGTTTTCATAATCATAGATTCTTTTTTTTTTTTTTGTAAGCTCTTTGTGTGTTTCATTGGCGTACTGCCGTATATTTTTCTTCTTCAGGTGTTTATTTTCTCGACAAAATTTTAACCAATCTGTCCTATATTATCTTATTATGCGTTGGTGGTTGTTTGTGAAATTCGTTTTTATTCATACTTGTATCGTGTTTTTGCTCTTTGATAGCGTTTGCTGGTGCAATATGGTAGTTCTATGGACGAATTTCCATTTTTCTAATCTGATTTTAGTATTGGTGTCACTTCCTCGTGCCTCTCGCAATTTAACTGCAGTCTTTGCTATTAACGTGCTGGTGCAATAATATTCATGACACTGACGTTGTCGTGTACGAGGTGGTCAAATGGCATTAATTGTCCATTTGCAAGAGGCCATATGATCCGTTAAGTTATAAACGCATGTAGTGTAAATAAAGAAAGAATTGGCATTTTCTTTTGCAAGGCAATGATATTTGGAGGAATCCTGTATCGAAGTCGGGGGAATTTCTTAGTCACACCTCCTGTTTTCGGGGAAAATGAGTTTTTTCAATTAAAGTGGCATAATTGAAATATGATTGGTTTATTTTATTTTTCAGAGTTGCTACTTGGAATAATTGATTATGGTGTTTCAAGTCACCGATTTATTTTAAATCCCAATTCAAGAAAGTTTGACTTTGTTTAAGTATGCGAAACACTTTAGACCGGGTAAGGAATTCTGTTGACCCGAGGGAAGGTGTGATACACTCCCGAGTACCGTGATTTTAACATAGTCGCTTAACAAATTACACTTGGCTTGATTTATTCGGATTATGCATATTTTAAAACCTTTTATGCATTACTGCTTCTATATCGCTTCGAATTATGTATTTTTTACGATGTCGTGCACTTGTTGTTTTGCACACATTGCGAGCGATGTAACTAATTTTTGATTAAATCGTTATTTATTATTATTATTATTATTATTAATATTATTTTAAAAGAAGAAAATAAAAGAAGAGAGTGCAACCGAGTTCTGGTTTTGGACATCTTACATATCCCGGGTTATAAGGGAATCAGGTCGCGTGTAGTTCAAAAAGAGTGGTGGAATGGTGAGTTGCAGGGTCGAGTAAGGTTCCGCCAAGGCTCCGGTAAGAATGGATTCACACCGAGGCTCAGTTGGACGTGTTTTGAGATTTGCATAAGGCAGGGTCTGTTTCGGCGGTCGCCCTTTATGGTGTTTGTGTTAAGGCCCGTGAGGCTCGGATCACTTGTGGATATGATCCTGCCACGCCTGAGGCCGACGATGACGAGGTGGACGGGGCGTGGATCAGCTTGAAGAGAATGCCTGGTATGATGCTGCATACCTTGAGGGCGAAGATGACGGTGGTGAGGAGGAACAAGACGGCCTGGGCATCGATGGTCAGGGTGGTGAAGGTGCAGGGGATCATAATGGTGGCAATCAATAGTTTTTCTTCTTCTTTTTTGTGAACTTGTGTATTTTTGCCGGTGTCTTCACGAGCTTTTGTAAAAAAATGTTTTATGAAATGCCAAGGTTGTTTTCTACATTTGTTTCCTTTCCTGTGGTGTATTTTCTGTACTTGTATGTTTTTTGCTTCTGTTGTTTGGTTGCCTTTGCTCTTTTTTTGTTTGCGTTGAGACATGGCATCCGAGAACCGATAGGTGTTTGTTGTAACGAGGTCGAACATAACCTGAGTTTGATTATGGTCGAGGGCCGTTAGGTGTTATTTTGAGCGATGTCGAACGTAACCTGCATTTAATTATGGCCGAGGGCCAGTGGATGTTAGTTCGAGCGAGGTCGAATATAACCTGAATTTAATTATGGCCCGGGGCCGGTAGGTGTTTGTTCGAACGTGGTCTAACATAACCTGAGTTCAATTATTGTCAAAGGCCGGTAGGTGTTAGTTCGAGCGAGGTCGAACGTAATCTGCATTTAATTATGGCCGAGGGCCGGTAGGTGTTAGTTCGAGTGAGGCCGAACATAACCTGAATTTAATTATGGCCGAGGGCCGGTAAGTGTTAGTTCGCGCGAGGTCGAACATAACCTGAATTTAATTATGGCCGAGGGCAAGTAGGTGTTAGTTCGAGCAAGGTTGAACATAACCTGAATTTAATGGATGATGTGCTGATAAGTGTAAAGTTTATTGCCTTGCATTGTTGCTTTTGCTACATACTCGGAGAAATTTACAGATTTTTGGGTTTTGGCTGGCGTTTCAGTGCTAGTCCTGGTATATCTAGTCCCTTCATTGATTGATCCGGAGAATAGTGAGAGGTCGAGCAATGAAATAGTGATCACGACCTTGCCTTCACATGCTTTGACTTGGAGTGTTCCCTTTGTGAACTCGTTAAAAACCTCCTTGAGAAAACCCAAATGGGACAGAACTCAAATGAGAGAAAAAAGAGTATGACTTGGGGGATGCCTTTTATTTTAGAAGTTGATGTGTTTGAGATGGCTGTTATTCCAGTTGTTTGGTAGTAGCTTTCCTTCCATTGTTTCTAGTTGAAATGATCCTTTATTTGCTATTGTTGTGATTTTGTACGGGCCGTCCCAATTTGTTCCCAGCTTGCCTCCCTGTGATCTTTGCTCGCTTGAGTTTTAGCTTTCAGTACGTAGTCTCCAATTTTGAGCGAGCCTGACCTTTGCATTCTTGTTATGATAGCGTTCTGCTTGCTGTTTTTGGGCGATCATTCTTATATAGGCCATATCTCTTCGTTCGTTGACTTCGTCGATTTCTTGCCTTCTGCTCTCGTCGTTGCTTGCGTCACTCTCATGGGAGTACCTTAGACTAGGCTCTCCGACCTCGACTGGTATTGCTGCCTCTGTCCCGTAGACCAAAGAGTAGGGCGTCTCTCATGTGCTCGTTTTTGGAGTTGTTCGGTAGGCCCACAATACTTCTCGTAGTACTTCCGGACACAGTCCCTTGGCGTCCTCAAGCTTCTTCTTCATGATAGTTAGTATCGATTTGTTGGAGGACTCTACTTGCCCATTGCCAGCGGGCTGTTGCGGGGTTGAGAGTATTCTTTTGATATGTCATTTCTCAAAAAATTCGGCGGTTTACTTTCCCGTAAATTGGGTTTGTTGTCGCAGTTGATTCCTTTGGGAAGGCCGAACCGGCAGATATTTTTCCATATAAAGGTGATTACTTCCTGTTCCTGTATTTGGATGAATGCTCCTGCTTCCACCCACTTAGAGAAATAGTCAGATAAAACCAAAAGGAATCGTACGTTGCCTCACCCTGCCGGGAGGGGGCCCACGACGTCCATTTCTCATTTGATGAACGGCCAAGGTGAAGTGACCGAGTGTAGGTGTTCACCCACTTGGTGAATCATTGGGCCGTACTTCTGGCATTGCTAGCATATTTTCATGAAATATACGGCCTCATTTTTATGGTAGGCTAGTAATATTGCGCCCGTATGAGGCATCTGACCAGTGCTTGATTGCTGGAATAAGCTCCGCAATGACCTTCGTGGATTTCTTCAAGGACAGGCAGAGTTTGGTTTGGGCCCAGGCACTTCGCTAAAGGGTTGTCGTAAGTTTTTTTGTACATGTCATTGTGGAGGATACTGTATCTGGCTGCTTGCATTCTCAGTTTCTTGGCCTCTTTTTTATCACCCCGGAGTGTACCGTATTGCAAGTATGTGACAATACAATTGCGCCAGTCCCAAGTTAAGTTAATGGTTCTTACCTCGACTTGGTTAGCGATGAGTTGAGGAGATGGACCACGTTTTTATCTCCTGTTGCGATGCTTTTGGTAGTTGTGGATTGTTTAGCGAGGCCAACTGCCTCGACGTTCTGTGCTCGTGGAATTTAGTCGAGCTAGCATTCGTCGAACTCGGGCAGCAGCTTGCAGATTTCGGTCTGGTATTTTTGCAATCTTTGTTCCTTGATTTGGAAAGTCCCTGTGACTTGGTTGACCACGAGCTGGGAATCATAGCGTAATTTTAACCGTTTTGCCCCATACTTGAGCGCTAGTCTCAAACCTGCAATGACGGCCTCATACTCGGCCTCGTTGTTAGTCATATCCGGGCACCTTATGGACTGGCGAATTACTTCGCCTATTGGGACTTCGAGTATGAGTCCCGATCCAGACCCCGACGCGTTGGATGCGCCATCGGAGTATAGGACCCAGAGGTCTTGTGCTTGGGGGGGGGGAGTTTGGACGACTTACTTTTCGACTTCAGGCATTACTTTTGCGCTCAAGTCGGCAACGAAGTCAGCAAGAACCTATGACTTTATCGCCGTTCACGGCTAGTACGTGATATCGTGCTCGCTTAGCTCAATGGCCCATTTGGCCAGCCTTCTTGATATCTCGTCTCGACATTGACTAATATTTTGCTAATGTAATAGATGAGAGATTGCGTACCTTTGTTTTCTCGAATTAGGATTTCACATACAACAACCTCAGACACAGCTAGATAAACGAGGAGACGCTCCCCTGACTCTGGTATTGAAAGCAAGGGCGGCGACGACTGGTATGCTTTTAGTTCCCTCAGAGCATGGACGCATTCCGTAGTCCATTGGAGGCCGTTGTCTTTCTTAAGTACGCCAAAGAATTTATGGCACCTATCCGACGATCACAAGATGAACTTTGATAGGGCGGGAATGCGGCCAGTCAACCTTTGGACTTATTTTTTGGTGGTCAAGAGTTCGGGTATCCCCTCGATGGCTTTGATTTGGTTAGGGTTGACCTCGATCCCTCGTTGTGATACTAGGAAACCTAAGAACTTTCCTAAGGCTACGACGAACACACACTTCTTCGGGTCCAGTTTCATTCCGTACCGTCTGAGTATGTCGAAAGTTTCTTTTAGATGGGCAATGTGATCTTCTCTCCTTTTGGACTTGACCAGCATGCCGTCTATATATACTTCCATTGTTTTACCGAGCTGATCTTTGGACATCCTTATCACCAACCTTTGATAAGTCGCCCCCGCGTTCTTTAGTCCGAAGGCCATGACCCTGTAGCAGTACGTTCCTTGGTGGGTGATGAACATGGTGTTTTCCTGCTCTTCTTCTTGCATGAGGATCTGATTATAGACTGAGTAAGTGTCTAAGAAGCTTAGTAGCTTATGCCCGGCCGTTGCGTCAATGAGTTGTTCGATGTGAGGCAGCGGGAACGAATCCTTTGGGCATGCTTTGTTCAAGTCTGTGAAGTCCACGCACATCCGCCATTTCCCATTCTTCTTTT